CAAATGTGTCACCAAGCAAGCGCTCCTCTGGTTTTGACACCTTTCAGGCAGAAGTCCTTCATGCAGTGCTCCATGCAGAAAGATTAGGGTGCTGCACCTCTATAAAGGACGCAAAGCAATGAATCATAGAATCATAGAATCATTAAGGTTGGAAAAGACCTCAAAACCAAGGATGTGTCAGAATGTGACATGGGAGGTGAAGGGCGGATTCCCTAAAAGCTCTGAGCACAGCTGAAGTATTCTGATCCCGGCTAGCACACAGCAAAACCAACACAAGTGAGGAAAGTAAGCTTATTTCAGGCTTTGCTCATTTAACTTCAGATTAATCACTAAGCATTTGCATAAAAGCTTGGAAACAGAAGTTAAACTCTAGATTGTTAACAGCTAAGCAGAGATACTACTGCATAAGCAAATACCATGCAACTGAAGGAGGCGGAGAGAGGAAATAGCTTTTGGCTGCTATGTCAGGCTTCTCATACACAGCAAGAGACAAGCAGGCAGAACAGTTCAAGGATCACTCTAAACCGTGCAAGCTGATAATATAACCTCTGAAGGCCCATAACATATCAGTGTTCTCTAGCAACCTGGAACAATACCTTCTGATCCCAACATGAATGTCACTGAAACAAGGACAGTCAAGCAGCTCCTGACAGCTTTGTGCCATCTGAGAAAAGTGTGGGCTCAAGAATGTCTACGAGGCCAAGGATCTGACTCCTGCTGTGGCCTGGGTAGGTTTCAACTCCTTGCAAGAATAAGGTATTTTGGGAGAGCCCTCATGCTAAAATGGAGTCTCCTGGAGTGGGGTAGGATGGGCAGCTGGAGGGATCATGCATTAAAATGGCACTTTCCTACTCCTCTGCAGATTATGTTTTCATGAAGGTCTTAAGTCAAAGACAGCTATTAAGTCTATTAAGTCCTTTTTTTTTCTGGTCAGTTTGGTGAATTCAGATGACTTTGGAGCATATACGGAATAATCCTCACAACCAAAAGCATTTGATGAACTGCATAAACTGACATACGGCTTATGCAGAGGACAGATTTAACAGATTTACAAAGCTGGAACTGCCTTTCAGTTCAGACTTAGTTCTTCAAGACAGCCTCAGGGAAGCCAGAATACTGCCCACACTCACTGCTTCTTATGCCATCGGGTTGCTTGGGACTGTGCAGAGGCACTATTAATTTGCCAGCTTTCATGGGCAGTAATTAAAAAAATCACAACTTTTACTGTGCAGTCATGAAGGGAGTTTATAGGCAGTATCAGTGCCGCTCATCTGACTCACCAGGTGGATACAAGAGATTTTGAGTAAGAACACAAATACTACTTTTCCTACCATTTAAGCCCGTTACTACATACAGCAGCTGTAAATAGTGCTGACCTGATTAAAATATTATTCTCATGTTATAATAATATTAATTCTATGAACTGCTACAGAAGTTCCCCAGCATCTTATCTGTACATACCGGAACCAGGATTATGGTCAGCTATGTGTAAGCAGTTTCTAGGGCACTGACTGGCTCAGGCTTAAGTAGTTTTTATTTTTAATATGGCAATATCATACAGAGGTAAAATACACTTCTGCATTATGAAATTAGCTGCTACACTGCAGGCACCCTACAGAAATAAGTGATTACCTCATTTACTAATGACCCGTGAGAAACAAACTCCATGTGTGTTGTTTCTAAGCTACTGTTCTAGAAAGCAACTCAATCTGTTAACTGAGCACAGTAAATACCTAATTAAATTAAATCTCCAACAAGCCTGAGAAAAATGTATTCAAAGCACTCTGCTTGATTACATACATTGGTCTAAAGTAACAGACCTATTGATCTGGTCAACTTCAAGCTTATTCGCTTCACCCAATTTAATTTGAGAAGAACAATAACTAAATTTTAGTTGGATCTCCTTTCCTACTCCCCAGGGAAATAATCCGAAGCGACTCTTGAGTTCAGGCAGTGTACAGAAAATATTTAATAGGGCAAAAAAACATTTATTTTGTTGCAGCTATGGACACAAAGTTACAGTTACATTAAAAATGCAAATATGGTTTCCAGTGCAACAATTACATAATGTTGCTGACAGGATCATATGCCATGAATGGACTGCTCTGGTGGGGGCAATAAACCAGTTGTTTTGCAAGTTCAGGATGGTATTAAAAACCATATATCCGTACAGTCCTCTATAGATGCAAACTAAATGAAAACAATTGGGGAAAAAAAAGACAAACCTGCCAGCTGTGCCTGAATATAGAGGCTGCTTCATTCTGTTACACTCTGCGACAATAAGCAGACATTTGTCTACTGGGCAAGACATCCATCCAATCTGCCCAAGAAGAATTTCCATAATTAACTAAGAATGAACATTTACGCTGGCCTGCTGTAGGCGAAAGACAGCTCACTGTCTCTACAGAGCAATTCAAGACTTACCCTCTCCAGCGTCAGTGGTCTGAACACAATTCAGGTCAGTAATGCCCCACTGCTGCTATCATCCGACAATTGCTCCAGCCACTTAGATGTAACAAGTTGATGACCTCAATTCTGTTTCTACCAGAGATGCTTACATAACAGAGAGACATCAGTAACACACGCAGCACTCCCGCTAACAGTGCCAACAGACAGGCCAGCAACTACCAGATCAGCATGATTAACACACTATCCTTCCCAGCCCTGCCTATACTAAGGAAATTGTGAAATATTTAATAACATAGCCAGTACTTGTGTGGCTCCACAAAAGCTTGGTTGACTGGGGATTCCAATATAGACTGACCAAGTCAAGAAGCATCCGTATACACAGAACTAAAGAGCATTTCCCTCATCACCTATTCCAGCCCTCTGCTGCTGCTGGCAGCCAGACAAAACATAACAGTTTTGTGCAGAGATACTAAGGCTAGCTCTAAAATTAATGCAGCTTTATTAACTGGGCCAATTAAAAGCATGCTTTTTTGCTTTCCTTTGGCTACAATCTTAATACAACAATTCTGCTTTAAATAGTATCTCTGCTTACTCATACATTTCATTATACAAACATAACTTTAGTATTGTAAAGCTCCATTTTCGAAGTCAGTAGCCTTACTCTCCTTACTGTTTCTTCAGAACCACAATCCTCTTGTCTGTCAGACACCTCGTAGCCTGACTTCTGGCCTAATGTAGGCACTGGTGGTTTATATTAATCTGTTCTTGCTCCAGTTTTGTCCCTAAATTTGAACAGCCATTAGGTCCCATTCTTACTTGCTTTCTCCAGTACTTGTAAAGAGAAATACAGTTCAGGTTTTGCTTTGCCAGGCTGAACAGGACAATCTCTTTAAATCACTTCCCCATTTCTTTGACCATCTTCTGTATCTTTTTTTGCCAATTTAAACTGAACCTTTTTAGGTGTAAGTGATAAGAACTACATACAATGTTCCAGATCAGATCTCACCACTCTTTATACAGTCTGTCCAATCTCTACTGGAACTAACGTATCTGGTACATCGTAGGATTGAATTTGCCACCATGCACCAACGGCACAGCCATGCTGATCTCTGAGGGTACAAACGCCAATCCTTTCCCTTTTCTGTTTTTCAACTGAGGAGATCCTGGCTGTCAGCATCAATTCTTGTTACCAATCTTTTAAGCACCTTAACTTGCATTCCATAATTCTCAAAATTTAAAGCTTTTTCTATTAATTCTATCCTTGAGGCCCTCTATTTTTTTCTTGTTTGATATCCCAGTATTGATCTGTATCATTTGTAGTGTCAATATCTGCATTTCTGTATGCAAATTTCACAAGCATATGCTTCTGTTCTCTGGCCACTCGTCCCCCACACTCCGTAAATCCTGCAATAATTCAGCAGATGCGTACAGTTACTTTGTAGCTCAAGGGGTAGTATAGTACTGCCTCTGTTTAAAAAGAAGTGTCACTATTAAATCAGTCCAAAAACTTCAGGACCGAAAACTGCTTACATTTATGGTATATAATAAAACTAAATTTTACAAAGGAAAAGTTGAAGTCGTCTTGTTTATATGACAGCAGATTACTATTTTTCCCTCAGCATACACACATTTTTTTAGTGTTAAGAGAAGCTAGAGAGTTCTGCAAAGTTATTAGTGGCTCAGTATCTGAAGACTGACGGTCTCACACAACACAGCTTCAGGCTAAAATGATACAGCCACTGCAGAACAATTTTGGTTTAGAAACACAGTATTTGCGTAAAAGGTTGATCCACTGCCAGTTGGTAAAGACCAACACTTCCAACAATTTTACTACAATACAGTGGTCTAAATTGTCATTCAAATTGAATACAAACTTGAAACCGCCTGTTTTAAAAACAAAATTATTTCAGATCTCGCCAAAACCTGCAGATTGTAACAGGGACAAAGTTAGCAAATTTTAGAAGTAACAGAGATTGAGGTTATGTTCTCTTGGATCTTTCATCTTTTTTATGGGAAAAAAAACCCAAAACAAACCAAACAACTTTTTTCTTTTTTTTTGTTCTTCACTTTAGACTCCACACAAAGCATAGGGTCTTTATCTGACCTTGCAGCATCATAAAATGTAGACAGGGAAGCAGGACTTGGCTGGGACTACTCATTGTTCAGTTCTGAGAATTAACACCCACTGACAGGAGTCCTGGTCTTCTTCTTTCTCCTAATCACAAACTGAATTCTCATCAAAAACAAAGAAATATTTGTTGTTTACAGGAAAATAAATGCCTCACAGGAAAATTCACTAAATGAACATCTGCTTTCTCTATAGACAAGTTACATATGCTTCCTTGGAGATGAAAGTGTTTTTTGTGAACGCATGATTTCTGACATCAGGTTGTAAAGCTTGGCTGTTCATCACACACTCTTTTTCAATTAAGTTCAGTTTTGTCTGAGTTCTGTAATTTATATAGCTCTGCTTTAAAAACAAAATGCCCTACAGCCAGTACAGGAAGGGAGATAAAACTGAAACTTGTAATGGTGACAAAATTACACAGGCTAGGAGGGTCAAGAAGCCATCATCCATGCAGCAGCCTTACCCTTCTACGCAATCTGTCCCTTTCCTCACGAATAGCATTCATGGTTGCCTTGGTCCTGTTCAGCTCCTCCTCTTTGCTACACAGCATGGCCGTGAGGCTCTCATTCTCTTCCCGCAAGCCAGCTAGCTCCTTTTCCCATCGAGATCTCTCTTCAGATAGATTCGGATAAAGGTCACGTCCCAATACACCCTCAATCTCTTCTACGGTCTGGAAAAAAACACAGTCATCAAAAACCAGAAAGAAGCAGAGAAAGATGACTGAACAAGACTGATGGTACACAGGACAGAAGTAACAGGAAACTATATGTACTCATACGCACACACCCAGGCCCACAACACCATTAGTTTGCTTCTTTTGTTTGGTAAGGAATATCAAACAAAATTATTGCGTATTTTGTTTCATTATTTGACTTTTATTAAAATATTTCATACTCAACAACACCAAAGCAGATGGATGTTTTATATGCAAATAAAACATATGTCACCCATGAGTGAGAGCAATCCCAGTTCCATCTCAGAACACTTTAAAACAAATTAATGACTCCTTGTCACGGGTGAGCACTGTGCTTGTTTCCTTGCCCGAGCAACAGGCAGAAAGACGCAGCCTGTCATTCTGCACGGCACAGGGCCTTTCTTAGTTCTACACCAACTCCACAAAAGGGCAAGGAAAAGAGTGGGATAGTAAAAAAAGGAAAAGTCCTCCATGTCCCTGAGCATGTTATTTCCTAGAGGTGCCAGAGAGATAAAAGAAAGAAAACTGGCCTTGGCTAGGCTTACATTATACTAGAAGACATTACAGCCTTTACAGCACCTAAAAAAGGCTGGGTTTCCCTGGGACATCTAATGCCATTCGGTATTTCCCACTCCATCCCCTTGCCCAGAACTGTGCCTTGCAGGCACTGTTTAGCACAAAGGAGATACAGCAGCTTCCACTGGGTAAAACTAAACTACGTGCACACACCACCAGAAAGGGAATACTGCCATGCCTAAACTTACCATCAGACTAGTCATTCAACAGGTTGAAACACAGCATAACACTCAACGTGTCAGGTAACTATGTGCAGTTCTGATTCTACTACACAGTGTATGCTGTGCCTGTGTTAAATTTTTTCACTCATGGAAGATGGTGCAACAAGCAAAACCGCTTGAATTGCTGCTCACAAGCTTTCGAATCTCTCTGAAAGCAGTCTGCATTAAAATGTCAGGAAGAAACATGGAAAATACATGAATATATGATGTAACTAGCAACCTAGAAAGTTTCATTTAATTGGGTAAAACAAGAACCAGTTATAGCTGAAGCTTATACTTCTAAGTTTAATATGGAAGATAAATAACTCACATAACAAGGTTAAAAATAGCCTACTTTTATTCAAGAGGACTTAATTTTTATATATAACAAAATTAATAACTAAAGTTTATGTCCTTAATTTAGGAGGGACTAAAAGAACCAACTAGGGTACAGCTGAAAATGACAAACCAAGCTGAAAACACAACTCTGCTCTTTTTCTGCAAAAAATCTTTCCAGTGTTTTCAGCACTGACACTGATGTATCAGTGAAATTTTATTATTTGTCCATTATAATGAAAAGTTGGTTCTTTATTGTGATCAATATATTAATCTTAAAATAATAAATCTTCAGTACAGCATGACTCCTTAGTGAGGAGGAAAAGACACTAATACAAAAGAAAACGAGCTATTTTTAACAACTAGTTCAAGAACTCCATATAATGCTGGGTAACATTCAAAGTACTGATCTGAATCCTCCATGACACTCAAATAAACTGCTTCAAAGCCATTCCTACAAGACCCAGAATTCAGTCTGTCTCTCCTTCACACATATCCACATTCTCAAAATTAATTTCTTTACAGGCTATTATATTCATCAGGCACCACCAGGAACAGAGGGGACCTTTTCCAGTAGTATGCCAAAGGGCTGTCTAAACTGTCTAGAACGGTCACAGACATCCCCACTTCAAGAGCAAACTGTCAATATATTTGTTCTTGTATAAATGAGTCACTGATGCCTTTCTGTCTGACACAAATTCCCTGTATACAGTAAGCTACTTTACGGTTCCCTCACTTTCAGGTTCTGAATCGTAATTCCTCCATTACATGTCCAACCAGGCATCCCGCTTCTTGTTCTCTTACACGCACAATAAAACCAAGACATACAAGTACCAGCTGAACTATTTGTTCCTGTGTTTGGCTTGTCTCACCAGAATTAATAGAGCACACATGCTTTGTGTTAAATGCTAGCTTCATATTGCAAAACAGCAAAGTCACAACTTATGCATAGTTTACAGCATTTTATCTTTAAATTTCAGTGAGTAATTCATATTGTGTTTTCAGTTACCAGTCAGCGACCAGCTGTGTGACCCTGGGCAAGTAACAACTCATTTGCTGGATAACCTTAAGAAAGTAACTTAACTGTTTGAGTGTCCCTGTTTCTCTTGTCTCTGAAATGGGCATAAGACAAATACATTTCTGATTTGAGATCAAAAATCTATTAGTAGCTCCTCCCATGCCTTGGATAATTCCATGTAAAACAGGTGTACTACTGCCTACCAAACACACACTGAGAGCTGGAGCTGATTTCTGTGAACTACTTTGACACCTTTGGAAGTGAAGTGCTATTACTACAGAATGTGACCAAGTGTCTTAGGCAATGTGCATGCTGCATTTAAAGCCTAATGTTTCCATTACCTTAATGGCTAAATCACAATGTTCACTGGCAGTAGTGAGTTGTTCAATATGTCTGTCCACTTCTGCTACTGATAAACTGCAGCTGCTCTTCTTCCTCCCGCAGACAACATTTTCCAGACCTGTCAGCACTCTTTGCAGTTCTGAGTTCAAGTCACTACAGTTATCTAAAAGAAAGCAAAACAGAAGAGAACAAACAACGCAACCATTAAGTGACTCAGTGAAAAAACAAACTCTAACTCAGGAAGTGCCTGTTGCGGAACAGCTAGGACTGATATTGTTTAAGGAATGCCCTTGCAATGTGCCACTTTTTCCTCACCATCTGATAGGCTTAAATACCATAACCACATCAACTGCAACAAGTTACCTCCTATATGACAAATAACACTCTCCCTGCTTGCCTGAAGTGCATTTCTGCAAAGACCTCTCTTTTCTGAAGGACTGCATTTTAAGACACCACATGCTCACCTACTATGACTTTTTTTTTTTTTTTTTGTATACTGTATTTGCCATTCAGGACCTATTATCCTGATTTTATTACCCTCAAAGGGTAATTTTCTCTGTAAATTCAACAATTTTCTTGCCTGGTACATTCATTGATATTATGACGATGTTTTTCAGAGGAATTTTTGTGGTTATGCTTAGGTACTGCCTGATTTTAAAAATCCTGATGTTCACAGGAATGATCCCTACTGACTGTCTTACAGCCTATGTTTCATTTTTACAGATATTTCTTCTTCAAATGCAACTGCAGAATATTCAGGGATCATAACAGCACACCTTGTTCTTTGCTATGTTCCATACTACGATCATATTAGCAGCATACATAACAACACTATTTAATTATAAAATGCAGCAGAGAATCACTTCCTTTTCTGTCCTTCAGCAAAGCTCTTCTAGTGCCTAGGACACTGGCACAGGATCTTCCATTTCAGTGAAAGCAAGTAGGTCTCAGTACCTTGCTAGATCACTTAATAAACAATCTTCTTCTTACGCTCACATCTGGCAACACACAGACAGTGGCAGTTCCTAAGGCAGACCACATGGTAGAACTCACCCTTGTGCTGTCTCTCGGATGTGCTAGTTAGTATTTCTGGCTTACTAGTTAGGAGTTTGCAGTAAGTACCAACTCTACAGCACACAAGTGGTGCACTATGAGAAAGCAGTGCACTAGCAGTTCCTGTACCTTACTAAGAACAGCGGCAGGCATTCTTTCTGGAGGGCGTTATTTCTACAGTGCTGCTGTGAACATTTCACCATGGTCAGAATTCCCTAACAGCCTCATAGCTGTGGTTCTTACAGGGGACTAAAGTAGTGTGGCATTGAACTGTGTCTGAGATTTAACAGACATGAGACTCCAGATTATTGCAGACTGCCTTGGAAACTCTGTGTACAAGAGAAGACTGAAAGAGGTTGGATGAAGGGACAAGATGATCAGAAAATAGAAAACTGCAAACTCATTGCCCAAAGTCTAATTCCATAGCCTAATGCACATAATTATGAACCCATTGCTGACCAAAAAAGGAGTCTAGAATGACATCAGAGTATTGTTTAAAAAATGTGAATGCACAACACATACAAAACTTTACTCTTGGAGTCATGTTCGCTAGTTCCCAACTACCAGCCACCCATCTACTGCAATAATGCCAACAACCCCTTCATAGTAACACTCACTTATAAGTGGCATATACCATGCAGGACACTTAATTGTAAAAACCTCTACTTTTTGCTTGAATATATTTGTTTCCATAACATCTTCTGTAGCAGACATTTTGTCCATTTAAATAACCTTCACAAGAACTTGTATGTTGAGTTTTGTTCCTACAATAACATTTTCCCCAGAAAATAAGGGTTTACCATAATGAGAACCCTGTGTCACTGAAAACCAGTACAGCCCAATCACAAGCTCTGCAAGACATACTGGAGAGCATTCATAGTTTTAGCTCGTGGTGCTAAGCCATGCACATGGTTATTAGGTCATGATTTTTTTATCCTTAGATACCTGTATCTAGAAGGATAAAATATATATATATATATATTTGTGTATATCTATATGTGTGTGCACACGCACACCCCCTGGTATACACACAAAAGGATTTATTTTCACAGGAATATGGAAACAAAATCCAAAAAGGAGATAGTCTAGATATGGAAGGAAAATATGGAAAAAATGCAAGAACCCTTAGTGCTAACATTCTTATTTTCTCTGTTGACATATTTCATTTTATTGCACGTTTCCCATCATTAGCAGAAAGTTAAATGGATAACTTGCTGTTAACGTACAAAAACCCTGTTTCAGATCCACCCCGTGAAGAACAAAATCAAAGCACTAACCCCAAAATAAATGCATTTATAAGCAAATACAGCTCCAGAGATGGTGTATTCATTTCAATTTAAAAAAAATCTGTTTTATACGGTTGCTTACAATATCAACATGTTTTCTACATTTTCAAACTCCACTTGAGGGCAATGAATACTATATCCAAAAGTCAGCCTACTCTCAGGTCCATTCCTCTAAGAGGCACTGTACCGGAAAAAACAGCAAGAAGTCCTCAATAATGAAGTGCTCTGCTCCAAAGAAGTGGAAGCTGTTTTAGTACAGCTTCTCATGTGTGGAAGTAAATATTGCAATGTGGCATTATAACCATCAAAGCCTCATGTAGAGTTAATAGTTTAATATTTAAGGATCACAAGTCCTGCAACAGGGCTTAAGACTGCCATTTCAATGCAATTTCCTAAAACACTGCTCATGCACAGTATCATCCACAGAAGCTCCCAGGCACCCAGCTAGTTTGCCTAGGAAAGAAAATGAAGACCAACTGTTTGGTTTTAAATATAAATTAGGAGAAGTGGAATTCTGAAAATCAGTCATAGTGAGGATTACACCAGACTTCTACTAATCTACAGCTATGGTGCTCAGCAATTGTGCCCAAACACTTAAAACATCATTATACTGAAGGCCTAGTGCCTGCTCATGCTTATACTGCAAACTTTATGGAGTAATTATTCCATATTTGGAGGTTCTTCAAATAATCAGTAACTGTGCTTGGATGACAAAATAGGTGAAATTCTGAAGGAAAGACGCTGGTGCTCTTAGCTCTTAACCACTAAAAATCAGTTAGAGACTGTCTGGAGGTGGTCCCTCTTTGCACTGTGTTTGAAAGGTTTGTGTCAGATTTACCCTTCCCTAAACCCATTTCAGTATGTAAGCTATCCTCATTCCATACTTTAAAAATGCTCTCAGTTTTCAAAAAGTGCAGACATCCATTATAATTAGGCTGTAAAAGAACTGGACAGACAGTTCCATTCCCCATGCTTTCCCCCCCAACTTTTACTCCGTCTGCAGTTGTTTTCCAGAGTTAGACTACAGGCACATGTAAGGTATATGAATAGCATTTTCCCCCCTCTTCTTTCCCAAAAGTCATGAGCTCTCCTGAACAGATCATTCCATTTTAGACTCCATAGCTGTTCTACACCAGGTCACAGAGGTTACTTCACATACAAGTTCACAGTTGTGAAAAAGCTCAGCATTTGTTGTGATTACCACAGCCCGATCCATTTATTTCCTCACCAAACACTCAGATTTGCATTTCAAAGGCTATGATGCCTTTCTGGTGCAAGAAGACATCAAATCTACCAAGAAGTGTAACTCACCCACATCTGCGGTGACCACAGTGGACTGATTCTCTGGTACTGAAACAGAATTCTGGTCCATGCTGCGTGAGTCTTCATTAACCTCATGCTGGCTTTGGCTGAGCTCTGATCGCAGCTCCGAATACTCATCTTCCTCCCTGAGAGAGAGAGCAAAGCCAGAAATAAAATCCTCCGAGGAAATATGCATCTCTGTGACATTTATTTCAGACCTGTAAGCTGACCCACAGGATACAATCCACACAAACATAAGTGTTTTGTCCAGACAGTAGAGAAGGGTTTATAACCTTTACTGCAAAGCAACTGTGCTATGCCCATAAGACCCACTTGCAGCAGCCAGTGCCTGGTTTCCATGTCTTTGTTCCCAAGTTCATTATTACTCCAGACCACTATACAAGGAAAACAATGGACAGAACTGAGTGCTAGCAAGGGTGTGTGCAAGAAGGACATACACTTCTCTGCAATAACTCCCCAACTGCCAATTCTTAATCAGCACAAGTGGCTTTTAACCCCAAAGTGGATTAGCAATAACCAATTTTGGTCTCTTTCTCAGTTCAAAGATGTCATCAGTTTGTGTGCACATGCACATACGTGCCTATGTGTATCAAAATGCTCCTGGGGACGGGTAGGCTTTTAATTTTCTCCAAAGGAAGAGAACAGGCAAGTGAGTATAGCACTGAACTGCTGGAGTTAGTGGAAAATAAAAAGCCGCAATTACCTAGGTTTTAATTTATTTGCCAAGCTGGTTCTACTAAAATAATTGAGGACACAGAAGAGTTTAGCTAGAGCTAATGAGCTTAAAAAATTAGGGCTTTTCCCTCCTGTCTCCACATGAAGAGTTCAAAGCACTCGGAAAGAAGATAAGTGAATGAATAATAGCTTTGCCTGAGAGCATGTGTAAACATTTTTTGCTTTTGATCCACTTGCTGATTCAACTCGGAATTTTTTTTTTTTACTTCCATAGTGACTGTTTTGACATTAATGTATATATTTTAAACATGAGAAGAACACTGGTTTATCCAGGTGCAGAGCTCCTCTTATAAGCAAGCAAACAGCCCTCATTTTGTCAGACTCTAAATCAAATGCAGAGATACATTTTGTTGCAGATTCAGCAGAAAAGTGTGAGAATGGAACTGTCTGGATTTGGAAACAATTAGAAATAGCAAAGAGCTATCTGGGGATCTGCATTTGAGAGGGGCACCTGTAATGTTAACTCTGCTGTGTGTATGCTACATGGTGATGAGTGTTTCTTGCAGAAATATTACAGGATTTAGACTGGAGATGTGCCTGGATTTGCCAGGCAAAATAGCAGAGAAGATGGCCTGTACACACAGGAAACAATGACAGAAGTAAAGTCTGCTCTCAAAGTAGCTGAGGCGACAATTTATGAATCAGGACAACTCAAAAAAAGGAATTTCCGCTTGCTTGCCAAGCAGGGTTTCTCCAGGTAACCAAGCTGTAATTTCTACAGGAACTGTTACGCTCTTCTACCCCTTACATTTGCTTCAGTGCAAAGGAAGTTTAACTCTCAGAAGAATTTAGTGACTATTATTAAACAAAATGTAGGTCAGTTGGTTAAAACTGAGATTTAGATCAAAGAAAGGTCTTTCAGGTACCATGCAATACACGTTTACAAAAGTGTGAGAACTAAGTCATGAGTAGCAGGAATTAAAACAGAGTAGTGAAGACACATAAAGTCGAGTTAATGTCCCATGAATTTGTTTATTATTAGCCACAGCACAAGCCAGCAGTAACTAGCTTTAGACAAAACCAATTACCAAACTCTCAAACAGTTGCATTTTTTTGATCTGAAGGTAATTAATTTTTTCATTTATGAAACAATTAGTCCTACATTTTTAAAACCTGAGCTACCTCTACAGATGGACAAGAGGCTATATTGATCATAAAACAATGCCACACACAATAATAATTTTCACCATTCTTGTTTTGGCCCTTGTGCATAGATTTGCTCTTGAAAATCCAACCCAGCTTTGTCTAGCTAGCACTAGTGCTGTTTTTTCAGTTTAAGCACCCTCAGTATCTTGAGGCAGCTGAAAAGCATGTGACACTGCAGGACCCATGCCCTTCCAATGGATCACACCAAAAGCCAGTTTCTGAATGAGCTAATGCTTCTAAGACCTAACCAGAAAGATCAGAAATCCATTTCTGGTAAAGTGGCAGCACAGTCAACCATTCTCTCCACCACCGGTCTCACAGAGGGCAGACTGAGGGCTAAAAACGCAAGGGGGAACTTGAGGGGAGCTATGCACCACAAATATAAATTCTGCCTTTACAACAGAAATTGCCAGAAACAGAAGATACTGCTTGAGACTCTGCTTTCCCCAGAGAAGGAGAAGAGTCCTCTCCTCCAGTGGCACTGGAAATGCAAGGTGCTCAACAGCTGACCATGACTAGCCACTGAACTCCTTCCACACCACCCAGAAGGTGGAAGCATTACAGTTTCCTTGTTGCTGCCATCATCCAGGGACTGACTGGAGAAAGCAGATATTTATTCTCCTATGGACCCTGATGGTTCCCAAGTTGCTGGAATGTCACGGTGAGTTGGAGGCAATTAAGATCAGATCAAGCTGTTCTAAACACAGAGTGGCCTAGGATCAATGTTGGAGCGAAAAAGAGTTTCTTACAGGTATGTCTGCACTTATTGCTTTCCTCATGTTCAGGTGCAACCAAGGACCACAACTGCTGCACAGACACTAAGAAAAATTTGACCAAATAGTGAGCAAAACAGCACATTTTCAGCATCCTTCCACACTACTGACAAGTTCTGCCAGGACACTGGCAAGGTGCACACTCTCTTCATGGCTGCAACCAGTGCATACTTTCACACTTGAAATACTAGGGCCTGAGCAGTGAGGCCCTGAACCAAAGCTGACCTCTAGGTGAACCTCACAACCTAACAAGATACCTAATATGTATAATATTGATCACATATGCAATGTATTACCTTATGAATATATGCCAATTTATAAAAACTTTTGTTGTAACGCTTGTAGAGCATTGCTGTAACACTTGCTGTAAAATAATCGTTGTGTAATGGCAGGCCCACTTGCCAAAGAGAGATAAACCTATCTCAAACCCTCAAACAGACCTCTACGTGACAGAAGGTAGCAGGGCGGTGACGGGCTTTGTTTAGAAATGCATAATCAAAGATAACCAGATACCTTTACTTCTTCTTAACTTTTTCTCAGGTTCTGGCCAAGCACGAGAAAAAGTTAACAAGTAAAAAAAACCACACCAGCTGTTTTTCGCAGCTTAAGATAGAAAGTTGTTTATTTAACTGTATAAAAGTGGGGACTGTTTGCAGGGGAATTTGGAAGCCTCATCTATACAGTGGACGCACTGTATAGAGATTTCCCAATTGCCGGGAAGGGTTCTCCAAATCCTTCGCTGTAAATGGGCTCCCCAGCGTCTGCGGATCTGGATGATGGTAATGTATTAATAGGGCAATTGGTGATGTATCTTTCTTAATCACTATCGCTAACTCTATGTAGTAATGGTTAGGTGCATTACCTTACTTTCTGCTTGCTATAGTAGTTCACTTATTATTTTGTTGCTTTACCCTACCTTGCTTTATTTTCTCTGTATTATTTTCCTCATTATTTTATCTCTTTAAACATAAGTAAAAATAAGTTTATTTTTTTTAAATTTGGTGCCTGTGTCATTTGTGCTATCCCTGTCGATTGGCAAAACAACACTTCAGGTGCCAACAGTTTTTCAACATTTTATTTGAAAAAGTATTTCTGAAGCACTCTAAGACCCTCAGATAGAATATACTAAAGGTGTATGTGGACTGCAACCCCGAGATCGACTGCTCCCTGTGTATACACACTTGAGGTCCCTCTGAACTAGTTTACTTGTGAACAAATAGTGAAACACTTGAGACAACACTGGAATTAATCACTGAAGGCAAGTCGGGCTGGGCATTGTATGCTGATGCCAACACTACCACATTCACCCTGCCATTTGAATTGAGTCCAAGCAGCTTCCACCTAGCACATATTTTGAAGTAAGAATCAATGACCTCCGGGTCATTGTGTAAATATGACTACAAATGTGTTATTTCTTATGATGCTGCAGTCCATTCACTTTCCTTCTTTCTCATTAACTCCAACACAACCTACTTTCTGAATATATTTCAGATTAAAAGCTGTTAAGTCTGAACAAATAGTTTTACAGTAATGGGTTACAAGCTTCTTGACAACTGTTTCAAAGAATCCTTAGCAGGCACCAATACTCAAGAGTGCATTTGTGTTCCATATTTTTAAAGTTGCTTATTATTTTTAGAGTTGCACAGACGCACTGAAACAGCCACTGGTTTAGAACTAAAAGCAATCTGATCTCCTCCTTTTTCCTTCTGCTGAGCCTGAATTTGACATCTAAAAAAGACTGTCAGTCATTGGTTAAAGTTGTTTCTGCACAATCAACTCACAGATGATTTTGCCAGCCAAAGACACGATTAAGAAAAAAGTGCTGATTTTGAACGAATCTAAGGCAATACTCAAAACTTCTAAAGTCAGGAATAGTCACCTTAGATGTAATCCCCTTTTAGTGCACTACTGTATCCTTTCTGTGCTTCAGAGTTATCAGGTGTATCCTTTTTGTCCAAGTAGTTGTGGGAATAGCCATTTGATTGGCTTTGCTGTCTTCTAAGTTGTACACACTTGGAGAGATAATGGGAGTAGGCATACACCTTCTGAAAGGATAGAGAACCAATGCATGTATAAACCAGTCTTGTAGAAACTGAAACAGCAGGAGGGGTAACACTGCCACCAGCATCCATTCAACATGCTAACAGGAACCCCAAGCTAGCTATTGCTAAGTGGAAGGTGTTCATTCTAACGAAGCTGGCAAAATGTGCTCTGCATAATCATCATAGACTCTTCTGACCAACAGTTTTGCACAGTTTTTTAAAACAAACTTCAGCAAAACATTAGCCACCTCCTCCCACTCTCTCCCTAATAAAGTAGATGAGAATAGTGAGACGTTGTCACACAACCATAATTTTCCAAGAAATTTTCCAAGAGCCAAGGTTCGTGTCTCCAGACTGATCAAATTTTAAAAAGCATCCTCATCCCAATGGACCACTTCTTCAGTGTCTTTCTGCTCCAAAATTTCTACCTTCTTGAGCTGTCAGCGGGTAAATTCTGCACTGTCACACATGAAGAAATAGGCAAGCAAAAGGCTCATCTACTTCCACAGTATGAGTATAGGCAACTCTCTTTTTAGCTTTAACATCAAATCAGTTACAGCTGTATTTCAGCTCTTTTTTTCAATGAGGTTGGGCTTACAAATGAGCTGGGCTGTCCAGCAGCAGCAGGGAGATGAGACAATTGCAGATGAATGTTGGCTTGCTCCCACAACCATGGTGACCTCATTTTTCTTAGGGAATGCTGGAAGAACATAGCACAAGAGCAGCAGCTAACTTCATGTGGCTGCACACATGGAACTTGTACCTAAGAAATGGCTAGCAAGCGTAGAACAGTCCTGGAAACTTCTAAAAATGAGCCTGTTAAGATTATCGTTACTGAGATCAGCATATCAGATATACCTGGCAAGAGGCATAGGCATTGACACGTGACTTAAGCTCTCTTCTAGAGCTGGCATTACTAAACCACATGACAAATGCCATTACACTTCAAAGCTGTGTAAAACCCCTGATATTGCAAGGACAAAGAAACCCCCCAAAAAACCCGAACCAAAAATCAAAGAGAGAAAGATTCTCTGACCGGACAATATTACCTAGCTTGCAGAGCCTGCCAACACTCCTCACACCACTGCAATACCTTATTTTTTTTTTCTGCTTACTTTCTACACTACTTTCTGACGGTACTAGTCACATTCCAACAAAGACCTAAAATTTTAAATATAATATAGCTTAAGAAGGACCGTCAAATACCCTCCATGAAACTCTGTTTTCTTCTAATTGTTTCCAGAATATTTTTGGGTTTTGGAAGGAACCATTAAGAATGTCATAAAGCAGCAGTACATCAAGCAGTACATCAAGTTAGTTTATTTTTACAGCCTAAAAACGATACATGAAAACATGAACAATCTCTGTGTCAGCACTGGGGAGACATTTATCTGTTACGCAGTTCATGTAAAGTCAAGAAAATCCGTTCCAGAAAGACAGCCTAAATTTTGTGATAAAACAAGTGAAGCCTCCACTCAGTATTACTTGCAGGTATCCAAGAGTCAAATCAAAACTAAAATCCCTATTGTGTTCTGGTTTAGAGGAAAGTATAAATGCCGAGGCCGCAGCAGGGGTGTGCTGACAGAACCCTTTCTCTCAGGACTGTTTTGTTCCAAGTCCCGGGCTCAGTCCCCACCACCAAGGGTGGAGCGCTGTGAGTCACACCTGTCCCAGCAAGGACAGCAATTACACCACTCTTGCCCTGTGGGATGGAGCAGCTTCTCAAAGAGTGATGCAAATAGATCCCAGTGCGGATTTACAGAAAGTCACAGCAAGAAGTATCAGTTTTCCTTCTTCTAGTTGTCTTTACAAACCCTATGGAATCCTTCCAATTCTACCTCTGCTTGCCATTTTTAGGAGGATTATTACTCCTCTGTTCCCCAGACACCAAATTATTGGCCTGCCAAAGAAAACAAGCTACTCCAATCATTAAAGGAAATAAAAAATCCACTAACTTAATAAACATTTTTGTTCTTACTAATAAAACCACAACAAATCAAAACAGAGGAGGCATCCTAGCTGTCTGAACAAAATGAGCTCTCATCCAGTAAGACGAAAAAATGGGGCATGACAGTGGTGTGGTACCTGTGCACCAATATTATTCTGATGCCTTCAAAAGCCTGCACCCAGCAAAAGTGTACTTTTAAAGAGAAGTGGTATGCACTTTCCATCAAGCTCAGTTCTTATACCTCAGTTTCCTGTGCATGCCACAGCTGACATGTTTACAGACATGGTTTAACATTCACAGTATACACCCAACTCCAGTATTTTATAATTGAACACCACTTTGCATTCAGCTTGCCACAGGGACTCCAAATAAACACTTTTTACGGATTCTATGTAATATTTTTCTTAGTTGTCATTCAAGAAAAAAATATCAATGCAGCTCTCATGCTTCTCAGATTCTGTTTTTCAACTGGTCTTTTCCACTGGTACAGCTTCACCAGAGAGGAAAGCAGGATGGGCAGCCAGTATCATCATGCTGAAAAGAAAGGTAACTCGAAACAAACTGAATAGAAAGTTTGTCTGCTGAGGTATCAAGCATGAATGAACAAGAGAGTCATAGGGATTTTTTCAGAGTACAAGATTAGAAAATACTTACCCTAAAACTCTCATAATGATTATTGCTAGTTATGATCATCACAGAGTTGGCAGTATTTATTCTCTTAAATAACATTAACATAATGTGATTCTATCACTGCTTTTAAAGTGGTATATATGCATGACAATACTTTCTCTTATTTATGGCATACTAAACCTGTTTCTTTTTTGCATATAAATATTTCAATTTAAGTGAGTATTTGTAACAACATTGCCTTGTGCTACAAGAAATGTCTACAAGGAGAAAAAATGAAGCTGTTGTCAAAAAACTTGCAGCAAACAGACAAAGAAAACTGAAAGTTTGCTACATGGGTAAAGCCCCATGCCAACATTACCTATGAAAGTGTCAAATCTAATTCAATGTTCTCTAGAAAATCCATAGATTCTAGTAGTTGTTGCATCCTCACAAGCTAAACTTCAAGCAGCTCCTTCCTTGTTGTACTGCAACCTTCTCTGTGTTGAGAATAATGGGTAAAAGCAAGTGAGGGAAAATAAGCGTTTTCCCAAAGACAAATGTAAAGTTTATCTTAACACAGTAACAAGTAATGACCTAGTGTAATACCCCAAGCTTTGCTGCTCCAAGGACAGGCAACACATGATTTGTACCATTGTGTTTTGTCATAAATACCAGTTACAGGTAGATGAAAAACCTACTGAAATCCATTTGAGCCATATTACTCACAAGTGATTTCGCTTGGGTGATCTACAGGATGCCACAAAGGAAAGTTAAAAGCAGAGGTGCAGGCTAGGTGGCTACATCTTCCTTTATCTACCATTGCTATCACTCATCTGGTACCCTGGCATGTATGTTACACTAAACTAATACTTAGATGGCACAGTGCAGTTCTTTGCAGTGCTTGTTAGGCTTTGCAAAGTGTGATTTTGCCAGAGAGAATGCAGCACTTTTGAGCCTTGGGATGACACTCTGAAGAACACATACCTTAATTATGGGCAGCTACTCAGTACCAGTCATAACAATCCTAACTGCCTTAAAGTCACCATCAAATTATATTTAAAGTATAATTTACACCACATTTTGCACCATTCTTGCATTGGCACGGAATTCCAGGAAGTTGTCCTACCTTATTGTTGTTCCCTGTAGTCGATCAATTTTCTTATTTAATTCAGCAATGACACTGTGCAGCTCTGTGATTCGTTCCTCGTAGCGTAGTGTTGTTCGCTCCTGCACATCTTCGTGCTCTCTCATTAGATGGGATTGTTCACACTAAAGCAGAGAACCAAGGAATAGAAAGGATCTTATGAATAACTCCATGGAGAACAGATACAAGGCAAAAGTGCACACCATTAACGGTTTTCTTACTCACAAAACCAACACTGCCTCAGCAAGAGGAAAGGACAGATGCAGGTACACAAAGGTATGTAATTACAAGATTTTAGGAGCCGAAAGACTATGCAGTGTGCTTTTCTTACTTTTTTCCTAAAGGGTAGAAGTTGCCCTTCCTGGTTGAATAAGAAATGCCATTTGCAAATCAGAATAGCTATAAATATCTCATCTTTGAATTCATGAGATTCATGATGCATCGTGAATCTTCAAGGATCTTCCCAACGTGGTCTGAATTAGAACAAGTCCTACAGCAGAAACCACATTATTATAAAGAAAAGTAACCATACTTTGAGGTTATAACTTCTTCTCCAGTATGAATATTTGTTTTTATTATCCTTTAAAGATAATATAGCATATTTTTTATTACTGTAATCCTCTACAACAAAATGTTTAGTATTTAAACAATTACACGGTTGCTTGGTTTTTATACATATCACGAAATTCTCCTTTTTCTTTCCAACAGAATTTTAAGTCCAGCCTCTCTGGCTTAACCTTCACACCACCAAACATTCTACTTCAATTACAGCAAACAATTGCAACTACTGCAATTACAGTCCAGTAGTGAATGCCGATTGAAAGTTATCCTTGGTAGTGGCTGGAAAGAGTAAGACTTCCAACTTTTCGCTTCTGACCCCATGCCGGAAACAGTCCACCCCCCTTGCAACCACTGAAAGTACTATGCTGTCAATGAAAGAAAATTCACAAGCCAACTGACAGTATAAAACCTACGCTCGTTAATTGAAGAACTGCAACGTAAGATCCTAGTAGCATTTCTAAAGGCTACAATTTATGTATGTATGTATAAGGTCCTCCAACACTGCTGCATCAAAACCTATTTTTTTTCAAATCTTGTAAACACTCTATACAGAGGTAATTCCCTCAACCCTTTTTATCATAAATATGAAAATTACACCCAAACTACCAGGTATGCCAGAATTTTCATAGTTTGCCCCCGTATTTTTTGGCCACTCACATTCACAGCTTGAAAACACCATCTACGTAGAAGTCTGAGTGAAAACTAAAATTTACATTGAGCTTCAATAACATTTTTCTTTTAAATTTTAAATAAAATTTATTTCAGTATTTTAAAATTCCAGTTATATGTACATTGAAAGGTAGCCCAGACGGTAGAGCACCCTTCCGGAGACTGCAATAAAGTAGTTTCTTACAATTTTCACCTACACTAAGACAAACAGACCATATCTTCACACTGAAGAGGAGTGCAAAGGGTCATGTTTTATAAGACTGATAATGTTCACCTGGATTCAAGACCTCATGTTGGCAACTGACATGGTTATACATGTGTATTGTAACGACTCTTTATTGTAGGATCATTCCACAACTTAATTTTCCCGTTTCCACATGTTAACATTGCATTTGGCTGAAGAACTACCACAGCTTTCAAAGTGCAGAAATAGCATTGAGGAAATGTTTATCAAAAGCTTTAGAAAAGATTTAAGTGCAATAAAGATTTGCTTATTCTGCCTTTCTAAACCTAAATTACCTCTGGCACACATTTGCACCCACAAACTCTACCTAAGCATTACCCAGATCAATCAATTACATGCACTGTTTTTTTTTGGTTTGGTTTTTTTTTTTTTTTTTTTTCTCTTTTAAACTAAATGGATGTTTCGGATGGAGTATGGAATAATTATTTTCAGGCAATAAATAAAAACGCTATCACAACAATTTTTGTCTTTCTAAGCTGTGCACTGAAAAGCAGAATCTGTTTATCTTGACTGCAGATATAGGGATTTTTGCTAATGGACCTCGGCCACATTACCAGACTTGCTTTCTGTTTTCCAGACACTTCTCAGCTACCATTTCTCAGAATGACTGTCATTTAGTGACATACTTTGTGAACAACCAGCAGTCTGGCAGCTCCACATTTGATTTTTTAAAAGGTCTCCCGGATTATCTTGGGCAAAAGTAACTGGAAAAGGCAGAAAGGAAACCTCTGTGAAAGACAGAACACAATGTTACAAAGGACTGCTGTGCCTTGGAAGTGGGTACAGAGCTATGCCTCCTCAGTTCTGGTCAGTCACGACAACTCCCAAACAAAAAAGGCAAAAGCATCCAAACAACGGAAATATAATTCAGGATCAATCCCAAAACACAGTAATAGAAAATCTTTTGGTTATGCAGGATTGTTCCTTATTATGGCCCATTCATCTCAAAGCTTACAAGTGAAAAGAAATAAATGCATGTTTTGGTACCCATTGCTAAAGTCTTCTGGGATACTGAACCTCTTCATCATCCTCCTTAGTTTCTGTGTCCTCTGAATCTCAGAACAGTGATCTGCCACCAGTTCCTATTTCTTTTTAAGGTATATACGTTCAGCTCTTGCAAGTTATTTGCATATGCCAGTCACACAAACTCTTAAAGACAAATAGCTTACACCTTTTTCCTCAACTCTCTTTTAGCCTTATCCCTGATTTCTGATCAAAACCATTAAGACCGCTAACTCTCTGAGAAGGCAAACACAGGGGTAATCCACTGAGAGGGTACAAAAGATGAGCAATTGCTGAGGTCATGAGAGAAGTTTCCAGCACAGTTCTCAGTGTAAGTGATCCTGGTCTGGTTTTGGGTACAGACTAAAAAGGTTATTTCAATTACAGTATAAATTAACAATGCCTGGAAACACCTTTTTCTGACCTCTTGATGCCATGAAACAACAACCAGGGCAAGAAGATTATAAGGGAGAATGATAAAACATTTCAAGTCAAGAATATTGTCTCAACACATTATTCTACTGCCTATTAACATACACAAACCTCTAGCACAAGAAACATTGCCAGCACGGAACTTAATATGAAATTTGCAGTGTGCAGTCAGAAGACAAAAAAAGAACAACCAGCAGCAGTGCTTGGTATGGAGATTCCTAAGTGCCTCAAGCCCTGCATAGACAAACGGCTACAGCATTGTTCAGGAAGAATACAAGTCATCAGCTGAATGAGCCACAATGATAAACCTGTCTAACAGGCTCACAGCAGCTAAACACCTTTGCTCAACTAATACAGTATTTTAATTTCAGAGGAGTGGCAGATTTTAAAGCAGCAATCCATTAATCTAGTTTTAAGTATAAACACAAGTCCATCATGCCAAATCCTCAATCATAAAAACCACACATGGTGTGAATTAATTGTCTGGTAGTATATCCTGTGTATACTTGATGGGGAAGAAGAATACAAGTAAACAGTGACATAAGAACATCGTACAATAGAGTGAGTAATTTCAATGATCACCTGAACACCATGCATTTCTATTTCAAAGTACTTTATTAAAGAGAAACAAAGCCTTCCATTGAAGTTCACATGTTCTTATTTGCCTGCAGATTGTTGGTTTTATTCTTATACTGAAATTCTGCTGTCCCTCCTTATATTCTGAATAATTGAGAAGGTAGTAAAGAATTATTACTGCAGTAATGGAACTTACAGCTGTGTGATACAGGATCCAGAATGATGCAGCACAGTCTTTGTTACCCCATGTTTAGAGCTATTATAAACTTCCAAAATTACAAGGACTAAGCATAAAGAATGAGAGAGCAGTACTACACTGTGAAAGGAGATAAAACAATAAGAAAGATAAACATTCATCATGTTATTAAATCCCATGTTCTATCATAAAACTGCAGAACTCAATGTAACAAGATTCAGGAAATGCCAAGAATGCAGATGGATTAGAAAGATTACATAAACCCATGGAGGACAGGACCAGAGAGGACTATTAAATGTGATGCAGCCTCCTGCTCACAGATGTTGGAGGAAAGGTGGGGGAGTATGAAGGAGGACAACTCTCTATATGTGTTTCTTATGTTCTTCCTTCAGACATCCACTATATATCCTTATCAAACCAGGATCCTGTGCCAGACAGAGATAGTAGAAAGCACCACTTTTCTTCTCATAACCACAGAAAGATTTTTGGAAGAAGTTGTGTTTGACCAGTACTTCATAGCAAATGAAAGAGATCACCCCATTGCCAAATTGTACACCAATACAAACATAACAGACAAGGATATCTGCTGTCTTACTGAAATAATACAAGGGTGTAGGCAAACGCTACAGCAGGTCTCCACAGACTGCAGTGCTGGAAGCAAGCATGCTACAACAACAAGTAATCAAATACCTCTTTTTGCAAAATTTTAGGCACAGGCTATCCAACTATCTTTCTTCACTATTTGTCATCTATTACTTGAATTGTGGTTCCCCAAATCACCTCCGCTCTGCAAATCACTAATCCTTTCTTCCAAGGTGTCTCACATGCCTCATGAAACGATGGGAAAGGTATTACCAAATATGTGTTTTAAGAGCTATTTGTTCCAGGAAGTATTTACGACACCAGCTGAAATGAAACATGTTGCCTTTGTAAGCAGAGTCCAGATGCAGAATAGAGATTTAATACTGACCCACTACCATCTGAATACGGTTATGCAGAACCTGAAACACCTCTTATTTAATTCATGCCTTCTAAGTCTCTGATTTGCATTAGTGAGGAAGAAATGCATTAGACAGAGGTTGTAGACAAAAAAATTATATGATATGATACATGATAAAAATTTGGATAAACCTCTGTGGAGTGGGAGGAAAAGTTGAAAAAATTATGTTAACTGCAGCATCTACTTGGAAGGGATGCAGTTAGAAAAAGATTAAAAGGAAATGTGGTTTCACCAGAGTATGTCTCAGTATTTAAGCATAGCCAACACACTGAATACATGAGTTGTGCTTGCTTAATTGCTTATTCCTTAAGAAAGATTGTATTTTAACACATGCCCAAAAGAATTTCTATCCATTTGAGGGCATTATTAAAAGAAAAGAAAAGAAAAGAAAAGAAAAGAAAAGAAAAGAAAAGAAAAATATCTAAAACATTAAAACTTTATCAAAATTTTTCATTAAAAGGTAATTTTTTTAATCTGCAAGCTAGCTGGCACGCTAGCTTTCACATATTCTGATTTTGTGTTTTGGGTAGCAGTTGTCATTACGCTTGTGTTCACAAGCACACAGCCCAAGATCATGTAAAAGCCCTCAGCATTACAAATTGAGCACCACATACACGTGCATAATTGGTAACCCATCAAAGAAAACACAAATCAACCTTGTGCTAACAGAGCATATGTTAATTGGGATAAAGGACTGATCCTTAATCCCAGTCACCATCAATTCATTACTGCATGGGAGCACCTACAAGGCACTCCTCGTTGGTGAGAGATTTTTTTTTTTTTTTTTTTTAAACAAAGATCTGGAAATAAAACTAAAGCACTAACAAAAACCTGTAGTTTGCACAAGACCCTGCAGAGCTATAAATAACAATAAAGTCAGTGTAGCGATGCAGAATGATGTAGAACGCTTGGATACAGTGGATCCACCCAACCGTTTAATGATTGTCAAACACAGCCTCATATCAAACTTTGTGTCAGAAAGAGGACTCTGTCTCAGGGTGCAGCAGAAGTTACAAAAGGCTCTCAGGATTACAGCTGATAAACAATGTTAACTCCCAGTTCACACATTGAGGGGAATAAAAAATGAAAGTGTTTTTTATTTCTTGATGTTGCATCAATGGTCTGCAATAAGAGTATCATTTCCAAGACCAGAAACCTCAAAGGTAGCTGAAAAAAACATCAGGAAACGTGGACAAGGGCCAAAATATGGTTGGAAGATTGAAGTAAGAGCCTTAAAAGCTAGGCTGCTTAAACATTTCTACATTTGTCTTGAGTTTAAATAACACAGATACAAGCTCCTACCAAAACACACTGAATACTGAAGACTTTGAATTTGCAAAATCACAGAATGGCTGAGGTTTACAGGGACCTCTGGAGGTCGTTCATCCAATCCCTTAACCAACACAAGGAGGGTCACCCAGAGCAGGTTGCACAAGACCACATTCAGGTGGCTTCAGTACATCCAAGGCTGGAGATTCCACAGCCTCTCTGGGCAACAAATAAGATGCTGTACTTCACAAGACAAAATGCTTTGACTGTCTTTATGCAAGTATAAATTAGTGTATATTTTGAATTAGTTTTGAAATGTAAAGCACTTATAAAAGGTATCTGCCAATATGACACTTTCTGAAACCAAAGGCTTCGTTTACAGAAGACAGAAATATTAAGAACAATAGTTCAGTTTTTCCTGTTTGCATTTCACTCTCTACTTTTATCTTGATCTGAAAAGATTATTTTTTTTAAGAGCTGTGAAAGCATTAGAGTTCAGACCTTATTCTTATTTAATTCCTTGGCATTCCACTGACTGTGTTTTCCACAACAGATACATACAAACTGGCTTACTAGAAGCTAGACTGAGATCACAAATTACTTCTCACATACCACCAAAGCACTGCCAATTGGCAATAGCTTTTGATCAGTGTTGATGTGTGCTGTGTTTGAATCTGACATGGGAGTTGAAGGCTCTGCAACCAGTTACCTAATCCACTGAAAGTATGCTTCAATTTTTATATTCTAAAATATTTCAAAGCAGTCGCTCTTTATGTTGGCTTCAAAACAAAACCAATCCAATGCTTTTTTTCGGTATTTCTAGAGGAATGTCATCAGCACATAAAACTTAAAACCCACAGCAACTGTTTCTTGCAGTCTTAAAATTATTTTCCCTCATGACATTGTTCAGATATTTTAACCTCTCCCCACATACCATATTCCCCCTGAAGAACAAGGACAACACAAAACCAAGGACTGTCTTCAGAATCTTGAACTGTTGCTCACCTGAGCTTTTGCCAATTTCTTTTCCAACAGGTCACGCTCCCTTTCTGTTTGTTGTAGACGTTTATTAAGCTCTACTATGTCTCCCTTTAACGAAGCCAGGGCTGCTAAATGAAGCTGTAAGACAAAAGGAAACAAACAAATTAACCAATTCATAAGCCATGTAGCAGTAGCATTTGAAAGAGTATACAGTATTACACAGCAGCTACAATATCTGTGGATTTCTGCAGTAGTCAATAGGAACTTTAGTGTAACAAAAGTCTAAAAGAAATCCATATGCTATCAAATACTTTTGTATGGAATTCTCTCCGGACAGCACATACATACCTTCATCAGAAAACTCACTATAAGGATAAATAAAAAGAAGTATAATTCAGCTGCAAATGTGTAGATTAGTTCTAACACTAGTTTAACAGGAAGTAGCTTGAGTCTTGTTCTATAAAACCCTACAGTAAACGCTGACTAAGATTTTTACTATGAAAGAAGATATATCATGTTTTGATGCCTTCAGACATATAGAGATCATTAATTTGGTGAAGCGAACAACTCTCTACATGGGATTCGGTTTTATTTTGCAACTAAAGCTTACTCAACCTGAGTTACTGCTCTGTAGTTGTTGTTCTCTTCAGTCCCACATCAGTGAGTTTCAATGATTCTGATCTACTGAAGCTACACATGAAGAACCCGAACTATTTTCCTTTCTGCAGTAGATCCTTTGGACGAAAGTTACGTTCTACATTTAACTGATAGCATGTGGAAATACACAGCAGACTAGGAAAACTAACACAATCTAAATCACATTAATGACATAACTTAGAAATCAAGAACAATTCTTAAAAGAATTGTCACTCCTTCATACTCACTTCCTGTCCTCAAACATCCCCATTCATTGTTACACCGAGGGCATCAGCTAGAATTCAACACTCAGTATGGACACCTACAACCGAAAAGTCCAGGAGGAAAACTAGCCACTAATATACAGTCTTTCTTTGTAGTAGTAAAGAAACAACTCCAAGGTATAGTGGGTGAGAAAACAAAAGCGAACTTTCACACCAGACCAAGTAACACAGCAAACACCGCTCTGCTGCCAAGATTCAGACTAAAACACAAACCCTGTTTCTAGTCCTCCAGTCAGTTTCAGTCCTTCACTCTGACATTTCATTGGGCGAGCCTCTTTGAAGTTATTTTTCTTACTCCATTTCCAGTTAATCTGCTAACAAGTCCTGTTTTTATATCAGTTTTACCTTTACAATACTGGAAGCCAGTAAAACCACAGGTGTTTTCACGTACTGACGTGTGAAAGTAGCTGTATGACAGCAGAAACACTAGATGATTTGGCAATAGCTCCTTCATATACAGTATTCCCATTGTTACAGAAAAGGCCATATCTGGCTTAAAGACAGAAAACATAGTTTTATAAAGATTTTTAGATGTGAATTCTGCAGTTTTAAGTGCAGTGTAACTAGTGATGCTTGAAGCTCTGGACATCCTAGTCTGTGAGTTCAGTCAAAAGCATTTTTATTATGTCAGCTACAAAAATATCTTACACACTTATGCAGTTATTCATTTCAGCACAAATATACACGTACACAACTTGACATCACAGTAAGTTTAAGATTCTCAAGGCAGACTCATTTTTCAAGTGAAAAAACTGTAATTCAGATCTGCTGCGGGCGCATCCTACATGGCTACTTCCAAGTATGCATACTGAAATCTCTTAATAAATCCAGAAACACCCTGAATATCTTTAAGTATTCTTGGCCTTCATCAGAAGGCCTTCCTTCATCCTACAGGAAACTATGCACAGGCTAGAACAAACTAGTGAGCTTCAACGCAACACTTCCTCTCTGCTAAGGGGATAAGGTCAAGCCGTGCCTTATAAATTCACCAGCTTTCCTGAAAATTGGAAGTCAATTTTGAACAGATTGGTACAATTAGGGTGGTTCTTGTTTCTCTACACTATAAAACCAGAGCACAGTTTGTTGATCAGATCCTACATCCTTCACCACAGCTTTCAAACAATACATGAAAATATGGCTACAATTCTCTAAACTGAATTAACCAATGCTACATAGTCAAATAAGTATCACTCCCTTTCATACACTATAATTAAATGATCACCAGCTATGGTTTTAATTAAATACCAGACCAATAATGACCATACACATGGTGCTATAATATAAAAGGACACCGTTAATTTAAAAATTTAAATGAAAACCAACTTGTCCAATGAACAGTGGAACTAATGAGGCGGACTTCCTATGTATTAGTCTTTGTCCTCTTCCCGCACTGCAGTCAGCTCAGCTACTCTTCACGTCACCTAGCACACCCCAGACTGGGTAAGAAACAGCATGAATTGTGTCTAGTTTTACAGCAATACTGCTCCCAGTCCTGGCAGCTCCTGCCAAACAAGGGTGACCAATAAGTGAGTTGTATCAGCTTCCCCATTCAGTATAGAGTCTCTCTTCTCCAAGTAAACAAAAGTTGGCTTTACTAATTAGAATGAAAGTTTTTTGCATCTTTTCGTATCCAAAATTATCATTCCCTTTCATAAATTGGACCCATTCAGTTTCCAAGTACTAATGAAACAAAAATAAATGAAAAAAAGAAAGTTACTGAAAGGTCAGCCTAGACCACAGTTAGCTATCATACACAGAGGAGGGGATACTCTGGTTTCACGTATGTACCCATCGCACAGAACAGCAAGTCATATGCAAGTGGTGCCTCCAGCTCCTGCTGCAATACATAACAAGGTTAACATAGCTAGTGAGGTTGTGTACTCTTGTCAGAGCCAAGCTCTCCTCCCCAGTTCCTTAAAAAAGGTGTTACAAAGCATTGCTGCATCTTCCCTGAAGGTGTGAGCGTTCCCACAGACCATGTTTCCCAGTACAGCACACAGCAGGGTGGGAACTGGAACACGGATCTTTGGTCGTTGCTGTAACACAAACAAGGAAACATCTGGGCAAAGAGCTACAGTCAACAAAAAAGTAATTCTGAGGAAAAAAAACCTCACATTTAGAATGCAAATGTAATAATCCAAATTACTACTGTTGGAAGGATTCCATTTAAAATTCTCAACCAGAAGGCAGCAAGTCAGTCACGGCTGTAACTCTGCAGCACTGAATCACTACGGGATATGACAACTAAGAAAGAGAGAGGAGAATGGAGGCAGCCATATGACATACTGCCTTTTTTCTCCCCTCAGCAAACAACAATAGACAAAGCAGAGTTACTGTCACTAACATTCATAACAGACATTTACAGTTCAAGGTTGGCTGCATCTTAACAACACAAGGTTATGAAACAGATCAAAAACTCAGTCGTTTGTAAAAATTAACACAGACACCTCAAAGATTTTGTTCGTACGACATACTGGTCTGAAACTTTAAGCAATAGCTCCCACAGAGAACTACTTCATATAGAGAAAAAAGTCCATTGACAAAGCCTGTACTGTTCATAAACTTTATACTGATCCAACACAGCTAGTTGTGAATTCTTCCAGGAAAAAACCCACTATGTGATAATGATGCACCTGAACTGCCCAAAAGGACAGGCAAGGTCAACACAGATGAGACCAATGATTGAAAGGGGATCAGACAAGGCAACCAACTTGCTTCTCTACCATCATCCAAGGAAATAAGAATTCTATCAGAAAATAAATTAGATGCATAGGATTAATAAAAAATGCATCACCTATCTTAACTCAGAAGCTACAATTTCTACGAAATTTTCTGCAAGGACAATAGCAGGTTGCACCAAATTTTATAACCAATACTATTCTGCCAGGTTTTTATATATTCAATATATCATAACAATTATTATTTATTATTATAGA